ACTCGTAACGCCAGGGCCCTAAGCTGTAACGTGTTTAGCCTATGTGAAAATCTATCCCCGGTGATACAATATAAATTTGAAGTTTTATATTTAATTTCCGGTTATAAAAAGTGACAAATTAATATTACAAAATGGAAATTTATTGTTTTTAATTGCAATTTCTTAATTTATACGTTTTGAACGTTGAATTTTTGTTTTATTACCTAATCCAAACACTTGGCAAAATGGAAGTGATGCTTACATTTTATGAAAGATGAGTGAGTGTAAGTGACTTTTCCTTACTTTATAGGTTGATTAATTTATAGAAACGGAAATTTATAGCCTTGGAAACATAAACAGAATCTTATTTTATCATTTTTTCTTCTCTATAATTTTTTAAATGCCAGGTTTTCTCGCGATTCGGGACCCATAATCAGATGATCCGCATCATCTTTCGTGAAGAAATTTTATTACTTCTTATTAGGTAACCCTTTAGAAAGATGATTTTTCACTTTTTAAAAGGTTTTAAATTTAAAAAATTTAAAAATTAAATCAAAATCGACGGGAATGATCGATAGAATAGCAAACAAATGTGAGAACGATCNAACATAATATTTAATATAATTTATCATTTATTAACGTCATTTTCCTTATAGATGCATTATTTTTAATGCTTTCACCCATTATTCACGTTATTATTCTTGAATAAATGCGTGTACGAGCATCATTTTCTCTTTCTAGCATTAATCGATATCAAATATTCTCAATCATTTGCTTTCATAGGTAGAAAATTCTAAGAAACATCACGCTTTCTAAGCCAAATCGCCAGGGAGTCAAGTTAAAATATCCACGTTTAATGAAATAAAAGTTGTTAAAAAAGCCTAAAAGTTAGGGGTTTTTTTATTTAAAAATGTTATAAATATTATATTTTCAAGTTAGTGTTAGGTATATTTTTCAGGCGTTTAAATATTTCTTTAAAAATCTCTACGGGAATATGATTAATCTATGAATTTATATGTTAAAGAATAGTCGTGTTTAAGCAGAATTTTCTCCTGAATAAATAAAGTTAGACTCTCCGAATTTTGCGAAAAATTTCATCACATCTTCTTCTAAATTAATGCAAAATTTCATTCCAATCGGACGAATAGGACACACGAAATTTATCAAAAAACTTCCCGAAGATGCGGGTTTTTCGCGCGAGATTTACAATTTTTCGTATAAAACACCTCTCCCTCGCACTTAAGACAATCATTTATGAGCAATTTATTTAATTATACATATAAATTAATTATATTTAAAATTTTCTCACGATGTAATGTCAATTTTAAGATTTTTAATAACCATTTAAAAATACGTATAGATTATTTAACAACGTGTTTAAGGAATCGATTTCTTAAATAAAATCGATTGTGGAAAAAATCGATTTTCTTAAAAATAATCGAGTCAAGCACCAAATAAACTCTGTAAAATATCTTAAAATTTATTTATAAAGATTTAAAAATTATAATTAACTATTAAATAAACAATAAATATATTGTTATATAATGCTTAATAATTATTAATAACGCCTTATCATCATTATGAAAAATTCGGATGGTAAATAAAATTTGCATAAATTTTATTCATCATCATCTTATTTAATTATTTTTATTACTTTTTTTTTATTTAATTGCCTCTATTTTATACACAAAAAAACTATAAAAAATGCTTAAAAATTCATTTTTTTAACTTAATTTCTTCCCAAATTATTAATTTATTTATTTTTCTACAATTATTTTATTAAATAATCTAATTGCATTAAAACCTGTGAACAACGGACACCGAAAATAAAAAAAATGGCCGTCGTTCGGAGGTTATTCGATACACATTAAAAAAAGAAAAGTTCTCGAAAAAAATGTCCGCCGTTTAGAGGTGTCCGTCGTTGGAAGGTTTGACAATATTATTTCTACGAATCATTATTTGTTAATTATTATTATTATTTTAAACTCTTTTTTAAAAATAAATAATGATTTATGTAATATTTTCTTTATAGAAAATACTTCGTCACGTAAGATATTGCATTACTCGAACGCAAGAAGTGGAATTTTTGCATTATTTTATTATATTCATGTCATAAAATTTTATTCTAAATTAATATTATTAAATATACAGTGAAACCTGTTCGAAACGGAGCGATTTTTTAATTTTTTTATCTTTAAAAAAATCTGTTTAAAACGGACACTTCAACCGGTAAGAATAATGGCGTCGTGTGATTCCGGTTTACACAGGTTTTACTATATTTCTAAATTAAATTATTGATCGATCCATGATTTATCGGTATATTAGGAAGTCACATCACGTCGTTGAATGGAAAATAATTGTTTTAAATGTTTTATTTTATATATTTTTTTACGGATAAATTAATTACCGATCGAGCTAGAAACAATTTAAATTTACAATTAAACTTATCCAAAACGGAAACCTGCCAAACCGGCAAAATATTCGCTACCGTACGAGTCCGGTTTACACAGGTTTCACGATATAACAGTTATTTTACTTAGATAATAACCATTATCAGTGACGTATCGGTGTTAGTGATGTCATTTAGTAGCCGATAAAACACTAAATAAACATTAAATACCTCATTAAAAACATTATCTTCATCAAAATATACAAAACAAATATATTTTCGCGTAAAAATTTACATCACATGGTTAATTTTTTTGCATTTTATCTCATTCACGACTGATAAGTTGCAAACTTAACGAGTGAATTACGCAAAAATATTCTTAATTGTACTTAAAATAAATAGTTTAACAAGTAAAATAACTTTTATAATTTCGTATTTTATGGTGTTTTTACTCCGTAAATGGAAAAATTTAATTTAAAATAAAGTTACCCCCCGTGAGTAGGATTAAGGAGTTTGATCAATCCGAAGATGTTTATGCGATGATATCACGAAAATAAACTAAAATATAAATTACCTGCAATAAAAAATAACATCAACAACGTATTTAAATCAAGAATGTGGTAATAAATTAACACCAAAATGTGATAGGAAAGGGTGGAGTTAGATCCGCCCGACCCCTAAGCTGTAACATATAACAAGCTCGTCTCCTCCACCAAATAATCGTACGAAAATGTGAGGCCCCAAACTGTAGACTCATAACGTGAGGCTCTAAGATGTAGACTCGTAACGCCAGGGCCCTAAGCTGTAACGTGTTTAGCCTATGTGAAAATCTATCCCCGGTGATACAATATAAATTTGAAGTTTTATATTTAATTTCCGGTTATAAAAAGTGACAAATTAATATTACAAAATGGAAATTTATTGTTTTTAATTGCAATTTCTTAATTTATACGTTTTGAACGTTGAATTTTTGTTTTATTACCTAATCCAAACACTTGGCAAAATGGAAGTGATGCTTACATTTTATGAAAGATGAGTGAGTGTAAGTGACTTTTCCTTACTTTATAGGTTGATTAATTTATAGAAACGGAAATTTATAGCCTTGGAAACATAAACAGAATCTTATTTTATCATTTTTTCTTCTCTATAATTTTTTAAATGCCAGGTTTTCTCGCGATTCGGGACCCATAATCAGATGATCCGCATCATCTTTCGTGAAGAAATTTTATTACTTCTTATTAGGTAACCCTTTAGAAAGATGATTTTTCACTTTTTAAAAGGTTTTAAATTTAAAAAATTTAAAAATTAAATCAAAATCGACGGGAATGATCGATAGAATAGCAAACAAATGTGAGAACGATCAGTGCTTACATAAGATACTTCTATTTAAAATGTATATATATATATATAAATTAAGAAAAATAAATTAATATATAATTTTAAACTTTCCCATTCCTTGAATTTCCTAAATTTTTATATAAAAAATGTGAATTTTAAAGCGTATTTTGCCACGGAGTTCAATATATCACGCTGCGTGAAATGAATTTCTATGTATACCCCGCTATCGATCATTACAGAAATTGTACCTATTTTAAAGATAAAGATGGCGATATTGACATAGAAAAGTATATAATCTCTTGATAAAGCCTTTTAACTCTTCGTTTCCTCGAAAATTTCACATCACGTTTCATAAATAAACTACGAATTACTCATTTCTAATTCAAGTACTATGATATATGACATTATGTTGTATGACCCTTAACGATTTATTGATAAAAAAATATATATTATTTTTATCATTTATTTAGTGGCATTGACTTTGACGGCAATGAAAAAAACCTTCGACGACAAGCTGTAAACATTATTTTCTTCATAGAAAACGTCAGAAAGTTATCTTTTATTATGTAACTCTACGTGAAAAGATTAACAATTCGCTAAGAATTAGAATTATATTTTTAGCATTATAATGTTTTAAATGGTAGAAAAATGTGTATTAAGTGCTTTAAATTTTGGAAAAACATGTATTAAATGCTTAAAAAAGTACATAGAATGTAACTTCCGTGCGTTAAAGATATAATTTGATCGTTAAGTTTACTTACTTAATGGAAAAATTTGGTCGAAAGCCAAAGTTTGGTAGCGATTTTTATTATTATTTTCTATGTAAAAATGCTTTTCAACTCGGAAAAAATGGGGCAAAAACATGTAAAAATGGGTCCGCAATCGAACCCAAAAGTACAATAGATAAGCATTATAATAAATAAATAAATAAAATAAAATACGATGAGTTATCACTTCTAGAAACTCCCCTACACAATGGCGTATATTGGATTTTAATACGTTTATATAGGAGAAAATTAAAGAAAATTGGGGCAGTTTTATATTATTTTACTAAATAATGGCTGGAATTTTCTATTCTAGGTTATATAAGAAGAGTTTACAACTTGGTCATCACTTAAAACGAATAAATAGATCAACGATGTTGCTCTACATAAAAACCAATGTTAAATCCCTGGGGCTAGAGGTAATGACACACTTAAAATCTGCCGATATTATTAAATCCGAGCAGAAAATTAAAACATAAACAAAAATATTACAAAATAAATAAACAAATTTAAATACATTATAAACTTACAGCATAAAAGTCTATTGGAAAGATTCCATGTCCCGTTCTTTCGCAGTCTTACTTATCTTCTGCCAACGATGTACCTGACTCGGAGTTACCTGAAGTGAATTATCCAATGAATGGGATAAACGTCGGTCACGTGAAGGGAGAGGCGACGTCATTCGGAGTTAGTAGACCGAAGTACAATACTTCTATCTTATTAAACCATCTTTACTCCAGACTTTATTCGGCAGTGACCCACTTAATGTTGGTTTGAGAATTTACGGACGGACAAACTGACAAACGGGATTATTACTACGTAAAAACTGTAGAAATCTTTACGTTCTCCGTTTCGGACCGATGATTATAATCGCTTTTATTCAATTTCTCAACCTTTCATCGATAATCGGCGATTGCGCGTTATCCGCCGATTTTCCGGGATACGCGATCTACCGGTTGGAAAATAAGCGCCTAATCAAAATATACGAATTATAGCTTACTACATATCATATAAGCATTTTTATATATTAATAAAATATTTTTATATCCACGATAACTAACTACAAACACATTTGATACCGTTTAACATTACAAAATAACATAGCAAATCCGATAAAATTCATAAATATTTATACAAAAATGGATAAATTTATGTCATAGAAGACTTTTTAATACCTTAGATCGTTATCTCTTTATACATTTGATTCCAATTGATCTTTAGTTGCCGGTATTAAATATCAACACCCGTATATGAGCATGAATATTTAATATAATGTGTTATATACAGACTTAAACGGTTGCTAAATATATCATCCCATTAACTAAAGATAATTTATCAATTAATATAAGCCGCAATTTATCGATCCCGCTTTAAATTCCATCGAAAAGTACAGATTTACACCCCCTATTCCCATTTAAGTACACGCCAACTCGACTCGATTAACCTTATTAACGAGCATTTTACATAAAATATATCAGTTCGAAGGTCAAAATATTATATTAATAAGTGAAACGAAGCTCTAATAATTGAATATATATATAAATTCGGTGAGGACGTATCTTACTTTCGCTCATATTTATGATAGAAAAGTTATCTACAAAATGAAGTCGATGAAGGATTGATCGTAAAACAAGATAAGGGCTTTTATCTTACAGACAGACACACAACAAATGTTTCTTTTGAATTAAATATTTTGAGTTATAACACGAAATTTTTCACGTGCGCTTCTAAAGCCTATGACCCCTTCTCAGAATTTTCTATAATTGGGTCAATTTATTATGTATCTCGCTGGAATCATGGCCGCCAGATAAAGAATAAAATAGGTCTCGATCGAGTTTATAAATGTTTAGTTTTAATTGGGTGTGTCTATAATTTATGTAGAAATTTGTAAAATTTCTAGAATTTTCTAGAATTCCAGAATTTGTAGAAACGTTTTCTAGAAAACTTTATAAATTTCTAGAAGCTAAATTTTCTATAAAAACGTATCAAACATGGCGTGCCTTATTGACCTTCGTTTTAATACATATTTTCTATTGATACTTTCTTAGTACAATCGACGTTAACAATTACGATGATTTTCAGTTATTTTTACTTCTATTTAATACCGAAATAATCATTTAAAAATGTATTATTACGCGAGTTCATCATCATCAATCGTCTTTACAAGGAACGTAATTGTTTAGTCTTTAAGTTCGTGTAAACTTAATATATATTATAATAATAGATTTTAAATTATATTTTATAAATGCTTAACAACAAATATTAGATATAATACATCTGTTACGATATTATTGATAAATATACCACTATAATCAACCTATTATTCGTGGGCATTGTATGCATTGTTTATACATTAATCATGTAATAATGTAAAGCAGATTGATGTGTCTAGTCCACATTTTTAATATAATTTTCATTCATTTACATGATGATAAATAAATGATACGTACTATGATGTTTTTAATATTAAAGAATTAAGAGATTATACAATATTAAACACCTCGTCTTCGGTTTATATTCATTATTTTATTTATGAAATCATTGTTTACTTTATCGTCATCTATAATACTAAATTATATCGATGTATGGGATCTTTAAGGCTAAGATCGAGCATATTGTAGAGCAATATATGTTCGAGTTAGTTCATTTAAGTATAAATATTTGGGTTCATTATCCTGGGATCCTGGTCTCGGTTCTTAGGAAAAATTCTGTTTTACTTTCCCGGCTGTTATATATAACAGAGGAAAAGTATGGCAATTAGTCAAAAAACGGGCCTCCAAGATTTTTACATTTTTGGATTCGGGGCACCTTGAAACGTCAAGAAATGAAAAAAGTTATGGGTTTTTCTTCCCCTGTATGTATAGGGGTTTACACTGTTTGAAGCTTAATAACTCCTGTGATTTTGGTCGAAAATTTCTGAAATTTTGCAGGGAGGTTTGTTTATTAGGGAGATCGTTGCTATTACATTTTGGTGATTAAAGGTCGAGGAGATATGGAGATAATGAGGTCGTATGTAGTATCTCCAGTAGGGTCGAACTTAATGACGATTTTACTCGTTATTAGCATTTGCAATTTTTTTTTTATAAAACCCATACCTATTCTCAAATTTAAGCTTTTTGACATTTTATAATAGTTAAAAATATAACAAGTTTTTAAAAATAAAATAACAGATAGCGCTACCAAACGTTGCCGGGAAAGTTAAGCAACTCGTTGCTGAATTTTTTATTCTGTAACCGGTCCGTTTCTAATCTCATCTCTTATAATAACGTAATTATTAAACTGGAAGGAAATATATTTTGTTGGTTGGCTATAAATTATATAGCATCATTTAACAATTCTAAAGGCACATTGTTAATTTCTATTCTGTTCAAGAATACGTGTAAAATATTCCGGAATGAGTTATCCTATTGACAGAGAGCAGAGATCACGTAATAACAACTCGACAAAATACCTTTGCTTCATTAATTATGCTCTTCTCGTGTCTATAGACTATTACAAACGTTATTTCATTGTTAAAAACGAGAAAAAAGTCGAAACAAACTACTGTATAACAATATATTCTTAGCAAGTAAAACTTGAGATTTAACGTTATAATAAAAAAAAAAAAACGAGGATTTTGCCCCGCATTTTTCCGATTAAAATCGATAGAACCGAAAGCTGAAAATGAAATAAATAAAATTAGAAACGATGAGGACAAAATGACCTCAATTTTTTTAAGGGTATAATTTCTCTCTCGTGATAGAAAAATCTCCTTAAAAAAAAAGGGGGTAAAAGTTTTAGCGTGCCAAATGTCTGTTATCAAACTGGGAATAAATGCATGATTGCCCTATAGTAATAAGGAAGTTAAAGCTGTTTTTCCATCTAATAATCGATCTTTTTACATGTCTACAATACTAGAATTTAATTCCTGTCACATAAATTTAGATTTCTCTAAGGAACGTCCTTCCTTCCCTCCCTTGACAATTCCAACTTTCCGAGCTTTAAAATAGGCTAAAGTAAATCAGAACGACTGGTAAAATAACCATTATAACGCAAGTTAAACTGTATATCGAAGATAATTCCGTACGTAAGATTTCGTCATTAACACCGCGTTAATGTATAAAGCGTATTAAACACTTCCGCGTTACGTATATTATATATTTCCTTTCTACTTTCCCGGTTTCTCGTTAGTCCTTATCCTTGAACTAATAAAACCGAGCGAGTTGAATGACCTCTTTTAGTTAAGTTAACAAGGTCAAGTTTCCAATGGGGGAAAACCAAATGGCGTGGTTGGTTATAACGTTGTGTACGGCGCAACTTATGAGAACCAAGACAGATGCAAAGTCTCACACGCGACCGGTGTAACGGTGACAAAATTTCGACAATGTAACACCTGTCACGTGAGAAAGGATTTTAATTTTAGGCACGATCATTATAAGGAAAAATATCGAAATAAAGACTTGCAGCGGGGGGGCAACAGAAACTGGGTGACCGGGTAACCTTAGTTTAAATTATAAAAAAAAGAAAAAAGGGACGAGTTTCTAAGCAGTAATGCCTTTTATAATACTGTGTATTTAATAAAATATCGATTATTATTATTATTATTTGACAATTAAACTGCTTTAATTTATAAGTAAATACATAATTGGGGCAGCTCAGAACGTACAGTACAGTACATCGGGCGCCAGAATAGAGCAACCCTTCTGCAATTTTTTTGTTTTTTGAACACACGAAATATGTAAAATACTTCTTTATATAAAAAAAACGGTCGTAATGATTTTAGTTAATTAAAAATAACATTAATTTATAGAGTAGGAACTGGTACGGGTTTTGGGAAAATTCCCCAGCTCCCCGTAAACCTCCTTATACACAGGACCTGGGGGAAAATTCCCCAGCTCCTCCGTGTATAAGAAGGTCATCTAAAAACCTCATTTTACATGTTTTCAATAATAAAAAAAAGCATATTTTATCATTATTATTATGATTAAGTACCGATAATAACGATAAAAATCGTCTAGATTTTTAATAATAATTGAATAAAAGATAGTAAATATCGATCTAGATTTAATGATTTTTATTGATTGAGTTGAAAAATAGCATTGCGATTTATATTCTTGTTATGAAGCCCAAATAAAAGTTTTCTTCTCCACTTACATTATTATTATTATTATTATTATATATAATAAATTACGATACTATTATATAATATAATTTCTATATCTTTATGTATAAAAGTGTATTAAAAAAATCAATAAATTTGCGTGTCAATGGGATTCTCCTGGCATGCATTCAGATATGCGTGTCATACTTTTGTAAACAAGAACACCGTGGCCTCATCTAAAAATATTTAGAATAATTTTTAAATATTCATGTATAGAAATGAATACAAAATATCAAATTAAAGAAAAACATACCAGCTTTTAAACATGGCCATTGATGCAGAAGAGAATAATTGGATATTAAATTATCTAAATTTATTGTAGATTCAAGAACTTTGAAAATGTTTTATAATTATAAAATATCTTCAATTTTCTTCAATAAAATATTTTTTTTTGCTTATTATTTCAGTGTTTTGATTGTAAAAACAAATTAAAGACAAAATCGTAACTTGCATTAATGTCTGATATGATCGCTCTGTTGGTCACGGATTCGTGCCTGACCCAAATAGACTGGTCGTGTGTAGTTTTCCGGATTTTCTTCACGTCTCTTTGCCATAGAAAGTCCCTCAGGAGGCACTCTTCTTGATACGTTGT